AACGCCTCGCAGGGTGTGTCTTTCTCACGATCCAATTCTCTAGAAGAAGAAAGCCCTCGAGCCGATTTCTCCCTCAGATCACAGAGGGGAAATCTCAGCCCGCCTGTCACTGCCTCGGCTCTGATGGTTTTTCAGATGCTGCAATTACACACACAAAGAAAACTGCCACCCGCGCTAAACCACCAAATCTGTGTTTGACTTGCAAAGCTAGCACAGAACTGGTCGCTTGTAAGTAACCAAATGTGTGTTTTCCACATGTGACATGCCGCGTTGCCCTCCCTTTACATACATTACTGTCCTGTATATGTGTCGACATGATTCACGGCAGGCATGTTCACACACACACACTCTGAAGTCATTAACTGTTTCCACCCTGTAATACGCAACTCTGCTCTGTGTGTGTCACAGTGGCACAAACACACACTTTCAAACAGAACAGAGTGTATTATCTGTAACATGTGTTTGTCTCAGTTTCTTTGACCTTTTATATGAATAGATAAAAACATAAACAGAACTGTGACTACATGATACACACACACCACACATTCCAATCTGCACATTGCACTTTGACACCCTGGACACTTTACACTGTTTACATTATTCTATATTTTTTTTTATTTTACATTATATTCTATTTTACGGTATATATGTGTATTAGTAATTTGAGTGTTTATTGCATGGCCTTGTGGAACAGTCTTTACATTTCACTGCACATCTGTATGAGCATGTGACAAATACAAATCTTGAATCTAGAGGACATAACAATGCACTGTAAAAGATATATATTTTCACAGGCTTATAAAACTGACATTAACAATATATTATGTATCAACACACAGACACAAAGAAACATAGATTTTCACCATGTGGTAGTTGACTTTAAAGCTTTTAGCTCAGTGTCGAGCCTATAGAACAGCTGATTCTGCTACATTAGAAGACATGCTTTTTTTTAAACAGAGATGATAACACTTAATAACCCTTGTTCATGTTTCATTATGTGTCACTGGTAGCAGGTACCAGGCTCCACATTGTTGAGGAAATTATTAAGCCTTGACTTCACACATTAAGACTCAGTTGACTCAGATGGCTTACGTTGATGAAAGTTTATACATAAGAAGAATACTCATGAGGAGACATGATTCAACATCACACTTCTGTTCTCGTGTCTTGCTCAACCACATCTGCAGAACTTCTCGAAAGGCATCGCATATATCCTAAAAGACATTATCATTATCAGGGTCACATTGACCCACCTAGACTAAACTGTGACGTCTATAACACTGGAGCAGACAACAAGTCTACCAAACATCCTTACAGATATCAGGAAGAACAGCTGACACTCTCTAAGCTGTACTTGGTTTCTAATAACAACTGAACTCTATCAGGTCTGACTGACATGAGAGAACAATGAATAAACCTAATGACATCTGTACATTATAATCTAAATAACTACAGAAATTCCACCACACATGATTTTTGATTGCCTGATACCTTCAGAAGTGCAGCTGAGTGCAGCCTCTGCAGTATATTTGAAGTGCTGTAGATTGTCACATCTGAGATATTCATCTGCACTTCCAGACCACTTTCTAATGACTGGAATCACGATGTGTCCTGATGACTGCTCTGAAGTGGTGTTACTTGGAAGTCAGGTTCAGTGAAGAGAATTTTCTCAGGAAAGAAGAAGGAGGGGTTGAATTAATAAAGTTTTCCAGTCTGAGCTATCGGGTCCCAAAATAAGAATAATAATCTCAACTTATTACTGTGGTTGGGAAGCTTTATAAAGTATTTAATAATTGTCTTGCTTTAATCTAAAGGTGACATGTTAGCTTAATACCTTGTTGTGTCACTGATTCACGGGTCGTTATTTCAACATTGTTGTCATACTTGGCGCTAACAACAGAGTGTGGAACTCAGGGAAGGTGTCATTGCCTCTTTATCACTCCTGCTCTGTAACATTCTGACAGGGAGCTATTGAAGGTGTGTGAAGAAGTGGCTTTATTAAGTGTACAGCTCATAACTCAGTGTTCTGTGTGAGGGTTTGTGCACTTTACTCTGGGGACATTCAAACACACACGTACTGTAAGTACTCAAAGGTTGTGAGTGTTTAATTCAGGTGAAGAGAATGAAAAATATCAGATTTTTTAAGATGCAATTTCCAAACCAAAACTCACAATCTTACAGACTAACCAAAACAAGATGGGGGAAAATACACTAGATCAAACCATGGAAAGTTGCTCTTTTACAAAGTTAACTTCTTCAGATCTATTTCACTTAGATGCAATTTAAATAAACAAACACACACATCATGAGACTTAAGAAGATTATTGTTTTTTTACTTAAGAATTTTCAAAGAAGCATGAACACCTGTTTCTCTTACGTTTTATGTACCATGTCACAGTCAAACCTACCCCTGAAACTAGTAAAAAAAATACCTCTCTGACTGCAAAACCAAAAAAACATGTTTTTATGAGCAACGGTTCAGCTCCACCTGTGTCACACCTGTGTGCATCGACTGTAAACTGCAGCACAAAGAAGGAAAAACTAACCATAGTGCACTTTTTTGGGGGCCTCTGATCGCCCTTTTTGTAACTAACTGAGTATTAATCAGTACGTTGATACAACATTTTGTTTTATTTATTTATTTTTGTTTTATTTATTTATTTAGAATCACACATTCACAGACATTTGTGGTTAGACAATAGAGTGATTCCTCTTTTCACATTTTTGTAAATTTATACAGAACAAAATAAATAAAAAATGATACAACACTTGTACACACACACACACACACACACACGCACGCACGCACGCACATACACATATGCATACACACACACACACACACACACACACACACACACACACACACACACACACACACACACAGTATCATATTTCCAGTGCATTATACTAGACTCTGCACCATACGACACATCCTTTTATTTTTATTTTTGTATTTCTTTGGCCTTTATCAGATTGGACAGCTGAAGAGAGACAGGAAGTGTTGGGAGTTGAGAGTGGGGGATGACTAGCAGCAAAAGGCTGAGGTGGGATTTGAATCCACGACCACTAGGACCAGGACTATAGCGTTTGTACACGGTGCGTGCGATATAGCCACTAGGCCACCACTGCCTCAAACTGTCACTAGTCCTTTAGCAAGTTTGATGACTTCACTGAGATCTGCAGACGAGCTCCTTACATCATTACAGAACTTGTGAATGTTAGGGATTGGATTTCACATGATGTGCCATTTGCGACGGTTTGACTTAAAGCCTGATTGTTCTAATGTACTATCTGACTGATGCCCACCCCAGTGTCTGTTTAGGGTCACAGATGACGGCTTCCACAGCAGCAGCACTAACGAAAAAGTCTGAAAGCAACATCCTCCCTGACTAATGGGTTTTTATCAGCTCAGTCTTTATGTCGTTTTTTTTTTGTAGGGTGGAGACACGATGCATGCTACAGCTATTGCACATACACACAGACATATGAGGCCGTACTGTCATGTACACAAACGAGACTCATAACAACACTAACCCCCCTCTTAGATGCTGGGTTTAAGCATAGTTGACATTTGTGATAAGATAAAAATTACATTCTTACATAACTCGCCTGTACCTGGACTTTAATCCTGCACCTGAAATGTGTTTCTTGTCAGAGGGCCAAATGGTTTGTTGTCTTCGCACATTCAGAGACAAAGCTAAATGATTTGTTTGGAGACGTTCCTCAACATATTTGGACGGGTGTGCCACTAAAGAGGATTGCGTGCTATGTCAGCTTGAGTGTTTTTTGCTTTAGGGAAAGGTTGTGCTTTTTTTGGGGGTCAAAAGGTTAGCTCAGTTTAAGGACCAGACTGTTTTAACCTTCAGTCTCTTTTTTTTCAAGTTCTAACAAATAAGCCATGTGCCTCTGAAATGGAGTTTAGGTAACTGCAGTGTTAGGTCTTATAGTTTTAAAAAAATCCCTCTAAGTGAGAGATGTTGGTTTTAGGTTTTCAGCTCATTATTCAGTAAAGAGCAGAACATTTTCAGTGGCTGATCTTCCAAGCTGCCTGTGGATGAAGATCTACAACAGACAGACAATGACATGTACTGCATTATGATGTGAGCTAATATAATGTGAAACTATTATAATCAACATGAAGCAGCAGGGGACTTCCTGTGAGGCGTGCTGTCATTATCATGATATCAGGAAAAACCAAAGTGTAACTGAGCAATAACCCGTAAATCACAGCTCATCATACACCAACAGAATGTCATAAAGAAATTAGAAGATAAGAAAGAACAGTAAAAGAACTTATGAAACATAGTGGAAGAGAATTCACTGAGCTACAGACGGGAACACAATGCAGAAAACAACAAAAGAAAGACATTTAATTCAGTCAAATGATCGGATACAGAATAGAATTTAAATTTAATCGGCTGTTTTAGCTGGATCAAGACCACAACTACCTTCTTTTTTTAATGAGATATACTAACATGTCAAACATAAAACGGTCGTCTGTATTCTGCATAAATGTCCAGTCTGAGTATGTTAACCAAACTGCTCTCTGGAAACACTCTGATTCGTTTTACTGTGGTTGCCAAAGCAAACATGAAAAATTCAAAAATCCCATGTCTCTGTTTTTGTTGCTGAGGCAACAACTTCATCTTTTAGTGTTGATGTTTTTGTCCCCTTTTGTCCCTCTCTGGACTGGACTGGTTTCTTTCTTCTTTCAGTGAGTGTAGTAGAGTTGTTTAGTCATGATCACCAGACTCTGCCCGGAGGATTCAGAGTGGAAATGTCTCCTCTGCGGTGGTTGCTATGGTTACACTGCGTAACAGTGAGGCATCCACAGAGGAAGTTCACTGTGGGGAAGTTTAATGGCTAAAAGTGTAGCCCTCTCTTGTCTGATGACTTTCATATTGAGCCCTTCTCCTTTCCTCTTGATTGGTTAGTTTTCTCACACTCCCCACTCTGCTCCTTTCACTCAGCTCTTATCCTCTCATCTTTCATTTCAGGACCCATGCAGGCGGCTTAGACTCACTCTGCAAGATCGAGACCGGTCAGGCTACAACTCAGAGCAGCACGACAGAAAGGTAACTAAATAAAAGAGGAAAAGAGTTTACTTTTTTTTTTTAAAGTTTACAGGATGATCATTTACTGAACGTGTTGTTTCTGGATGTAGGAGAGCAGCATAGCAGTAGTTCTGCCACATAAACAAGAGGGGCAGGAAGAAACACTTAAACGCATCATTCCCACTGAAGAAAAAGTTGAAGTTGAAGTCATCAAGGTATGTGAGCTTGTTTCGCTCTAATTGTGTTTGTTAATACATTTTAGTTTAGTTTTAGTTTTAGTTTCATACATCTTAGTTTTTGCTTTGTTTTTTGTTGTTTCCTGTCAAAGCGTCTTTGAGTATTTAGAAAAGCACTATATAAATCTAATTTATTATTATTATTATTATTATCATTTGTTTTAAAGAGTCAAGTCCAGCCTTCGTGTCTATCTGAGGAATATGTCTGCTTATGTGTGTGTCGCCTCACACACACACTCATTAAACGCTGTGTTATCCAGGTTTACCTCGAAGCCCGTCCAGAGACAGCAGAGAGCGTCAGGATGCTGACAGACGAGGTGTCGCAGATTCAGGAGGTCAGTGTTTTTAAAAAGACGACGAGTCAACGTTCAGATGCTAGTGGAGAACATTGGAGTGTGTTTCTCTGTAACACACACTTATTTAAAAACATGTGATGTGCTTTTGTTGATAGGTGAGGTACTGTCTGAAGACTCTGAGGGAGCAGATGGCAGCCAGGCAGAACAGTAACAACAACAAGGTACACACCCTCTGCATCAGGATGAACACTTTCTCTCTGACTTTAACTGAAACACACAAACCAAATGAAATCAGCAGAAACCTTCTTGACGTCAGTATTTGATGACATTGATTCCAGTTGTAATGTTTTTATTTAGCGTTTTCCATATTGTCCAAGACACTGATGTCACGTCACACCCAGTGTTAGCATTTCATTTCTTACTCTCTTGGTCATCAGTTTTTTTGTGTGCTGTAACTCGGCTGTGTTTAGTGAGCAGCTGTGATTCATAAACACTTTATTTAAATTAATTAATTAAGGTTCCTGTGAGGAGTGTTTGGTTGGTAATTAAACAGTCTGAAATGAAAACTGCTAACTGTTTATGAACTAAAAGCAAAACAAGACCACCAGAGAAAAGGCTGCCTATATCTATGTAGTAAACATGATTATGATGTCACTGCTGTGGTGGGTAGGTGTCAGCTTGGGCATTTAACAGCATGCAGCAGAAATAGCCTTTTTTCCACTCCAAAGAGTCAAAGTGATATTCAATATATCACTTATATTTTCTTACATAGTCTAATATTTTCAATATTAGACATTGAAAATACAAAAACAGATTATAATTATATAAAAAGCAGTACATACAAATGTAAAGGGAAAATATCAGAAAAGATACAAATTGTTCGCAGAGGTTGCCAAAATCAGCACAACCTTAAAGTTCCTCACAGGAGTTTTTATGTAACACTTTTGGAAGGTTTTTAGATTAGATCAAAATGAGAGACATGCAAACCTTGTTATAGTTCAACAACTTATTGGGTTAAGGAGACATTGATTACATTTCTTGTGGCATTAAATTTAATTCATCTCAATCTTGTCCTTTTCTATTCAAAATAGAAGAAAAGTAGTTGGTGCAGGTGTTCTCTGTGTCTGTGGGCCACAGCGGGGGTATCTGCAAAGTCTCCTGGTTTTCTGCCACCAGCACCTTTTATTTAATTTCACTTCAGGATATTTCTAGTCCCGCCTTTGCTTGTATTGCAATGCAAAAAATAAAAAAGCGCTTCTTTATGTTTTCATGTGCTTAAAGCTGCAGTGCCATTTTAATGAGTGCACAATAAACCACCAGCACCACTAACTAGAAGCTTCTCTTTTCTTCAGTTTCCAGTTAACGGCTTCAACGTGCCCAGAAACCTACCAGTCATCACTAACGGCAACACAATTCTCATTGACTCAGACACCGAGGCAAGTTCATCCCAATTCAGCCTTCTTTTAATGTCTCCAGAAATATTGTCACTGTCGCTTTTACGAATCTGAATATTCACCTTCTTAATAAAAAAGGAACCATGGGGAGTAACAGAAACCGATGTCAGCTGAAGCTAGTTCAAATGAATTCTAATTTGTATTTTAAATGACATGGCATAAACACCTGGCTCTCCAGCTGTTTCCAACTTACACTGGCAAACTGCCTTCTGCTGTGAGGAACAGGGTGCCAGGCTCCCTGAAGCTGATGACAAAGCTTAGCACACACACACACACACACACACACACACACACACACACACACACACACACACACACACACACACACACACACACACACACACACACACACACACACACACACACACACAGTATCATATTTCCAGTGCATTATACTAGACTCTGCACCAAACCTCATCTCCTGTAACACAACACCCAGAGAAGTAGTGTGAGAGCATAGAGGGTATGTGTGTGTGTGTGTGTGTGTGTGTGTTTTGTGGCTCTCTATACACACTGACCTGTGTACATTGTTGTGGCATATGGGTGAGCTATATGTGTCAGATTGTACAGCAGTTGTTTGTTCAAAGGCATCGGGTCTCATTTGTACCTGCTGCTATTTGTCTGTTGAATTCTAATTCCTTGCTCATTGCACTTTATCATTTTTATAATTTTTATGGTGATGCTGGAGCATCTCTGTTGGGCATGTACCTATGCACTTGATGTTTGGATGATTTATTAGTGTTGTTTATGTATTTGTATGTCTCCAGCTGCAAACAAATTTCCCTGTGGGGACAATAAAGATACCTTTGACCTTAGACCTTTGAAAGGGCATTGTTGGTCTGGTAAAAGTATTTATCTTACCTAAAGGACAGCCCAGAGATGAAAGATAATCTGTGCACAGTTTAACAACATGTCCAGCTTCTCTCCTCTCTGTCTGTGTTACCTCAGGCTTCACTAAACTGCGTAGCTAACTTCCTGTCAGCAGCCTCTCTGATGTGTCTGTTAGCTCCCGCCTTGCCCTCAGGTTCAAGTGCTCTGCCAGATTAGGCCTAATTGAGCGTGTCACCTTGTGTCTACACTTCACTCTCAGGTCGAGGATAATCAGGAGGAGAGCGTGAGGCTTAGGGAGGCAACCCGCCGTCTGTACACGCAGCTGAAGGAGATGGAGAACAGGCACCAGGAGGAGAAGGCGGCGCTGCAGGTAGAGATGTGAAACATGACACTGTAGCTCCTGTCTGTAGCTCTGACTCACTCCTTCCTCTAATGATCCTCGTTACCTCTCAGTGCTGTGGCTCTCTTCCCCTCACACTGGGTTCATTCAGCTGCAGGTCATGTAGGGACACCGCACACAGACTTACTTTGTATCATCGCCTGATCCCTTTGTACTCTGCAGCTACTGCTCTCACCTCTTGATTGGGTTAGAGAGGCACGAACACAATCACTGTATATTGATCATTGACAGAAATATAGAACCGTTTACTGAGTTTAAACCTGAACCTGTCTTCATTTTATTCAATTCAAAGTGAACAGCAATAATAGATTTAGTCTTTCAGACAACAACAACAAACACAGCCATCATTACATAACAACACCAGCACATGATCTCTTACGTTCCCTACTCACTTGAAGAAGTTTTTTTTTTTTTTTTTTTTTAAGATTAGTTTTTTGACTTTCTGTGCCTTTATTCAAGAGATAGGACAGTGGATAGAGTCGGAAAGCAGGGAGAGCGAGAGTGGGGAATGACATGCAGGAAGGGAGCCACAGGTTGGATTCGCGTTGAGGACTACAGCCTGCGTACATGGGGCACGCACACTAACCACTGCACCACCAGCACCTCCACTTGAAGGAGTGACGCTACTCAGGAAATCTAAATGCATAACGACGGAGGGGAAAGATAAGTCCCTCTAAAAAGATAACCTTACTCCCAACATATGGAATACGGCTTTAAAAAACTCTATGTGATTGGAGTGCTAGTTTAGCTCAGTTGGTAGAAGAGGAAAGTACCAAACGCAACATTCCTCGTCACACTGGTCGGAGGATTAACTCCCGGTCCTGTCTCTGCTTGTTGCATGTCATCCCTCACTCTCTGTCCCCACTGTTCCTGTCACTATTCAGCAGTCAGAGAAGCTGTCCATGTTGTTGTTAATGATGATATATTAACTTTAATTTAAAGAAAGAAAAAACAGTGCTCTGTCTCTGTGCACTGCCTGTCATCACCTGTGTGTCTGACCCTAAAGCTGTGGGGCGCTGGTGGCACAGTGGTTAGTGCGCGCGACCCATGCATGGAAGCTGTAGTCCTCCAAGCGGGCGGCCCAGGCTCAAATCCAGCCTGTGGCTCCCTTCCCGCATGCCATTCCCCACTCTCTCTCTCCCCTTGATTCACAACCCTATCCACTGTCCTGTCTCTCCATTAAAAAGCCCCAAAAGCCCCCAAAAAAAATCTTGAAAAGAAGCTGATTGTTTACACTTACTGACGTTGTTTTCTCCTCTTTAGAGCTGTGCTTGTGTTGTTCTTTCTCCCTGATGTATGTCGCTTTGGATAAAAGCGTCTGCTAGACTTGTCAAACTGTAGTAAAAGTTGCTTAATCCTTGAAAGCCCAGCGGTCAACCTACACAAGTGTGTTTTGTCTAATCAGGCCTGTTCTCAGGGCAGTGTGGGCGTCTTCAAAATGCACTTATCTCCCTCAGCCTTCTGTTTGTACTGTTGCACCTATTAGAGCATGACATCAACTTCCAGCAGTGCCCCATGTATCTTAAACCTGAGCGAGGTCTAATCATCATAACCCAGACTAGTTCAATAACAAATCCATCCTCTTATAACAAAGAGACTCCGTTCTTGTTTCCTCACAGGCCGAGTCAGAAGAGTATCGCATCCGTCTGGCCGAGCAGACCGAGCGGCTGCAGAAGGCGGACGAGCTGGCGGAGGAGAGGGGGCAGCAGGTGGAGGAGCTGCAGAGGCTGCTGGGAAGCATGGAGATCGAGGGCAACATCCTGAAAGACAAGATGGCCGCCGGGGAGGCAGAGCTGCTGCAGCTTCATGCGGACAGAGAGGGAGGGGAGGAGAAGGAGCAGAGGTACAAAACACGAGTCATGTGGAAACACTGTAATAATATTAACTGCCCTGCAAATAAGGTTAACTTCCTGCACTTTTATGCAACAATAGATCCCCATTTAGAATTTGAGTAAGATTATCTTCAAAAACTTTCTTCCCAGGGTTTGAAATAAAGTGATTATGGATTATAGTCAAATTACATAACTTGGTAGATAAGTTATGTAATAATAATATAATAAAACTAAATAACCTGTTCATTCAATTCTCTCAGTGATAGGCTGTATACTTTGTGTCTCAGGGAAAGGTTGAAATATTTTTCTTGTTTATTTGGTTTGCAGATGTGAAGAGCTGGAGAAGAAGTTGGCCATCCTGAAGGAAAAGATTCATCACCTCGACGACATGTTGAAGAGTCAGCAGAGGAAACTCCGCCAGATGATCGAACAGGTATTTAAAAAACACACCAGCAGGGAGTACGCACACAAACACAGCATACGAGCCCGTTGATGTGCAGGAAGCCATTAAGAGGGAAATTAGACTTGGAGGAGGAGGACTGATAAAAGTGTAATTTATTCGAGGAAGTGGAGCCAAGCGGAACATTTTGATGATTCACAAAGCTCCATCGTCGTGACTACGTGATGCTGCTGAAGGCTTATATGTTTGTTTGTTTTGTTTATGACACAGCTGCAGAACTCCCGAACGGTGATCCAAGAGAGAGATCGAGTCATCAGCGATCTGGAGGAAAAGGTGGCTTTCCTGGAAGCTGAGGTGAGAAGCTCGGCCGGGTCGGACCTGATTTTAAATAGAGACAGATTTGTTCTAATATGTTTTATGTTGCATTAAAGTGTGTCGTATTATTATTTCCAAAAGCTTCAACTCTTTTTCCAATCAAAGAACAACCGCAACATTGTTCTACTTCAATTTTTCTTTTTACACATTTTTACCCCTTTCTGCCTGCAGAACCGAGAAATGCATGACCACATGGAGTACTTCCTGGCAGGTCAGGACCCTCCCCCCCTCACGTCCTCAGAGAACAAGCCAGAGGTTGTCTACAGGTAAGCAATCACTTATCACTTATCACACCTAACTTTTTTTTTTTTCCCATTTTCTAATCCTCAATGTGATTTACTAAGGAATGTATTCTGCTGTGGTTTGTTTGTAAAGTAAACTTCAGAACTCTAATCTTGTATTTCTTGTGTTCCCCCCTCTGTACAGTAGACCACTCACACCGATGACATCGACCAACAAGGTCCTCCCGTTCATCAAAGTCATTGAGATCATGTCCTGAATGAGCAGTCACCCATAGAAAAGATTGTTGTAAATAGATATGTAACCATCTACCTATACATAAAGCACAGGTCAGCAGTGATTCAAAGAGGCTGATGTTAGCAGACCTCATGGTGACAAAGCACACTGCTCTTCAGTTTGAGGCTGCTCTGCACGCCTTCACCGACTGTTGCAGTTTCAAACAGAATCTAAAAGTGGAAAGTTAAAAAAGGAATTCAAGGTATCCTAAAAAAAGGAAACAAGGAAGGAGCTTAGCAATGCAAAGAAATGTTTTTACCAAACTCCTTATGCGCTTTGTCAGCACTTCTTAGAGATGCAGGAATTCAGTAAAGTTCTCTGTGTCGACACGTTTCCCTCTGCAGGATCAGAAATGAGTAAAGCGATGGGTCACAGTTAAATAGTTTTTTATATTGTGAAAGTCTCTGTTACACATCCACACAGAAAAAAAAAATGTACCAATAGATGCATCATGTTGTGTGTGTTAATCACTTGTTGGTCGTACAGGCTTGCTCCCTGGCGGGGGCCGGGCTCAGGTCACATTCCTCAGTGCTTCACACCACATTGCCAATGGCAGGCAGGACGTCGCTAACTTTGAGATATGATTTATATTTAACTTCAATACATTTCTCTGACATGAGACTGGGTTGAATATTGTAAGAGTGATCATATGATTTTTATCATTAACATAATGAACTATTTTATTTTCTCAATGATCCAGGCTTCTTGTAAAGCTAGAGGTTAGTTTGCTGCCAAGTCTTTCCTTAAACGTCTTTCTGTTACGTCATGCTTTTTAATAAAACGTTATATATTTAAAAACTCTTCATAAACTGCTAAACTTACTTTTTCACACATCTATGCATTGTTTGTACAGACCTTTATCTTTTTTTTTAGTTGTATACTTTATGGACGGCCATAAAACTGTACATGTGTTACATTTGACTGTGAACATTGTAGATAGATGCATTGAAGTTTCTGTTTCCTTTGTAAACATTTCTGACGTCATAGAGGTCTGCTTTATCTGTTGTGCACGTGAAGCCTAAACCTGCATCTTCTCTCCTGTTACCCTAAATTATCTTGTTCTGCCCCCTAGTGGACATAATAAAAACACTGAATATGAAGAAGTGGGTTGTAAGGTTTGTTGTTTTTTTTAATCTTGAACCACACAAGTGTATAACCTCATTTTAATACAAATCAAACATTGTCAAGAAAATAACTTATTGTCCATATAAACATCTTAAATCTGTACAATCCAAAAGGTTTTACCGTGGTATTTACATATGAGAAGCATAAATATGACTTTACATTTCCTGTTTCTACAATGAAAACTCTGCCAGGTTTACAACAATCATGTTCCTGTGAACTGGTTCGGATCCTAAATCAGGAGAAAGTCAGGAGTTCAACACAAAAACAGAAAGTCTTTCTTGTATGGAGACCAAAGATTTGATGAGTGCAACACTTCAACAGCTGTTATAAAATGCACATCATGCCTTTGTCCGTGTAACATTTCTAATGCCCTGAAAAATCCAGTGTATGAATTTATCAGAGCTTAACCGTTCTCTCAACTTGAAGGTGAATTTTAACGCTCAAATAGAACAACTTTTGATTCCCTTTGTGTAACCACGCACGCACGCACGCACGCACGCACGCACGCACGCACGCACGTTCTGAGTGTCGCTCCCTCACAGGGTGCTCTCCAGTGTGTTGTAGTTGTCTTTAAAACTTTTCAGCTCCAGGAAGTGTTTGGGCCTCTTGCTGCGCTGGCCGGTGGAGGGCAGGTAGGTGACCTGGATGGTTGAAGGGGTGCTGCGGACAGGGGAGCCCGTCAGGTCCTTGGCTGCGGACTGGTGATGCTGGTCCAGACTGGTGGTGCTGGAATAGGCCTTTACCCTGCAGGGGGAGAGATGAGGGGAAATAAGAGTAATAGAGCGTTAGTATGCAAAACTTGATTACAGAAGGTGAATATCTTCACAGAAAATAAACAACTTATTGTCGTACATCACATATTATTTGTATATTATTATTATTATTATTATATCGGAAATAAAAATAATTTTCTAAAATAGGCCACCATCTGCTTATTAAAACAAGAAGTGCAAGAATATGATTCTGTGGGAAATGCAGACCAATAGTGCTTATAATAAATGAAAAGGTGAGCACTCAAGGGGAGGGAGGATACAACACCATTTCTTCTGTTTCATTTGCATTCCTCATTAAAGCCATTCAGCTGATTGTGGAGTTCATAAACACAGTTCATGGACATAATTAAGAAACAAGAATGTTTGTTACAGCCAGGTTCTCTAAATAAAATGCATGAAGTCAGGACTTGTCTCATCTTTTGATTTGTAGTTCTCATCATTTGATTTGTAGTTCTTAAGAATGTTGCATTCACTAACTCTTGTCCTGTTGATGTGAGCAGTGCAGATTGCAATGCAGCACACTTTATCCCCAACAATGTTTACAAGACTTAACAATTTCAAGTCCAGACCAGAGGAACAGCACTTACACATCAGCCAGTTCACTGAGAGCCTGTTCATATTCAAGAAACTCAGCTTCTCCAAACACCTGAAACAAAGAGGTCACGTTAGATCTGTAACATGAAACAACATAACGCTGATACTCTTATTTTCTCTTTGAGAAACAACACTTTAATGCACCCCGGTCCCGTGTCGAGCGCTGTCGTAGCCTTCGAGCAAACGGTCGATTAGAGCGCTGCGGCTGCTCTTGATCAGCGAGTGGGAGTTACGCAACTCCAACAGCCAGCTCCGGAAATTCCGTCCGGTAAACGCACTGGGACAGCGGCTGATCTCCTGCAGGGGAATACCTGAAGTCAACACATGAAGGAAATAAGTAACACAGATTACAAAAGATGAAACTTCAATTCTCTCAATGGGGAAATTGGAACTCTATAAAGAACATTATTCAGTCAACGCAGACAGAATTATAAGAATAGGAGAGTAGACTTAAGATAAGAATAAATAAATAAATGTTTTTTATAGATCTGCAGAACAATGGCTGTTTGATGTACTGCTTCTTCATAAGAGGCAACAGTTCCACTGGTTTCACTGGTTTGATGTGATAATGAGTAATTACTGCATGCACCTGATGTATCAGTCAGTTTCAGCATCATATTTGAAGTCTTACCCGAGTCACGGATGGCATCCAGGGCTTTCATCCTGTACAGGTAATTGTAGCAACCTTTAAAATGCAAACATGTTTTTGTTAAAATTAGCAAAAGGACATCATAAGTCACCTCTAAGAGAGGAGATAAAGTGACTGACTAATCTGTGATCCGTGCTTCAGCCTGTCATCATCTTCTGATAGGAGGCGAGGTTCAAAACGGATCTCCTGGACCTTTGACAGTCTGGAATCAATCTTCTCCCTCAGACCCTGCACAATAAAAAAACATTAAATTAATTGAATACACATTAAAAAAACACTAACTCTTCCACCTTTCTTTGAGAACACACAAAGAAGGAAATCCACTTTACCTTAGGTGCATTGTGGCCAATAGGTGCATGTGGTCCTCTGCGAGATCTCATGGCGAAACGCATGATTTGTCTTTTGACGAAGATAAACAGCAGCACAAACACCTGCGCACAGAAACGTTAACAGGACAGGATGTTATATTCAGGATATCATCACATGAGCACATAGCAGGTAAAAACCATCACAGTGTGTCTACATACCAAGCTCCCATAGGCCATAACCAGCACCACGTTAACCCCCGATAACGGCGATGAATCTGCCATGTTATCAGTCAGAGTGTGAGCTAACTGTTTATCCACAGGTCGATAGGAAGCTAAGCTAGCAACACGTAAACATCATGATGCTATATTAGCTTGGTAGCTAACAGACGCCTTTAAAGCACAGATAATGTGTTAATTATTTGGTTGCGGCTTCAAATTTACATTTTTAGATAAAGACACAGTAAAGATATCATACGATGCTCTTCAAGATGCTTAGCGACATCGTATATGAAGTACGCAGTCTGGCTTGTGTTTGCTAGAAGCGCGGACGACGACAGCGACAACTCATTTACGACGCTGGAAATTACCGTAATAACTCTGGAAGAGGGACCAGACCCAGACAGGCGAAACCACCCCATGAAGTTAAATTTCCAGTTTAATCAACATAATATCTCTGTTTTGGCCCTTTTGTTTTAACATCATCAAACTTGTCGCTTTATGTTTATTAAAGTCCCATATATATTTTGTACAGGGTCCAATTTAACAAAACTTTAATACTAAAATCAAGTATGGTGTTAGAATAGAATAGATGTTTATTGCCATCTGCACAGGTACATGACAGTACAGGTACATTGGAATTATTGTGCGTTTCTCCCTGAATCAGCTTCTACAAAAAAAAGTTAAAATTATATCTAAAATAGAATAGCATTATAAGAAAAAAAGAGTAGAAAAGTACAAAAAAAAAGGAAAAGTAAAAATAAGTAAGTTGTAGTAACAGCTAAGTGACTTAAAATAAACTGAACAGAAGCTATTCACTGTATTAAAGCAAAGATATAATACAAAGAAAATAACAAAGGGGAACACTGTACAATGAAATGAAAATATAAATATGTTTTCTACATCTCTTATTGCACCTGAGGTTATTGCACACATATTTTTCACATTATATAATGACACAGTTTTTTGTTTTTAAGGTTAATATTGCACACTTGTATTGCACTGTGAGGTGGTCAGCTGTCCATTTAGTCTGTGAGGTGTGGGGTGAAGTACTTCCTTCCCATCTTAATGTCCTGTGCTACAAGTAACACAATGATTTTTTTCTTATGATACCATTCATAGACTATTTTGTATGTAGATATACTGTATTCTATATACTGAGCTGCCTAAATAATTTGAAAGAACTTAATAAAAATACAACTACACCTTGTGTGGAATTATATTTAAATTACCTTATTATTATACTAATAGTTGTATTTGTTTGTTGAAATAGTAAAAGAAGTAAAAAGCAGCTGCAGTGAAATGAGTAAATACATTTATCACAACTTTAAATGGAATAACAGTATTTATGTGACTTGATCGTGCCCGTTTTCTTATTAATATCTTATTTTTTCTTATTAGTATTTTATCAAATTAATAATCGCAATACTTAAGTTAAATATATTGATATTAAATCTATTTTCTATTTAATGTAGAATGCCTGGATCATGTATATTACATTAAACTCCCCTAGGTTCTTTCTTTTTTTTCTTGTGATAGTTTGGCTTATAGTATTCATTCTTAAAACTAAATCCTAATCTTTTTTTATATTCTGTGAGAGTATAATCAACAGTAGAATTTGATAGTTATATCTGTAACGGTTTTCGTCTATTGTTCTAAATATTTAATATATTATTTGTTTTTATTCTGAGCTTGTCTCGTGTCTTTTTACATCTTTCCAATGAATACATACTTCCACCACAGTAATTATGTAAATGTGTTTCTTTTAGATAAATGCAATGTAGGACTTGAGATGTGCACTTTGAGATGTCAGATGTGACCAAAATGTTTTTTTATTTAGTTTTTTTGCAAAAGTGGAAAAAAAAATGTACTGTTTGTTTTTAGGCATTTTTTGAAGCAATGAAGGGAAGCAATGAATAAAAAAATAATTACATTAATATGTGTTGGTTTAAAATGTATCATTAACTGCTGCTTACCAGCCACTGAAAAAGTCTGGCCCAGCTAAATTTCTTGGTTTTAAAATCTGGCCCAACTGAATTTGTAATTGAATAGCCCTGCTGTAGGTCTTCCATCACTATGTGCCAATGTTTATTATCTGTGTTTATGCATCCCAGTCCCTCACATGTCAAAATTATGTTTCTAATATCAAACTATATTAACTATTAACTTATTATTAATGTAGTGGCGATATCTATAGTCTATAAATAACAAAAATTCCAAACAAATTATAAATTTAACACAAACTCATAATAAAGCCACTGAGGCACATAGAGGGTGAATCTTATGCAGGATATATTAATAAGTCCATTGTCCAGGTGATGAATGAAGGTTTTAGGGTGCTTTATTTTATCCAGAGACATCAAGCAGGCAACAAACAACAAAAAACGCTGCTGTCTCTCTTGCCCTGTCATCCTACCATTGCATCCTGGTAAAAAAACATTAACCCATTAGGTGCCTACCTGAGTCTCACCTGACTACCTGGCTATATAGACACACCCATGTACAGACTCCCCAAGCAGCAAAATAAACGAATGGAAATAACTCATATGAATGTAAACAATAATAATCAAAATACCCCGAACATCTAACCCTAACCCCTAACCTAATATTCAAATGTATCCCCAAAATATCCCAAAATAAGAATATAGACTTTCACTTAATTTAGGAACAGTGAATAGCTGTAATAATTAACTTTTATATAAACTATATCAATTATTAACTTATTATTAACTTATATTATTCAATTATATTAACTTACATATAAACTATATTAACTATTAACTTATTATTAACTTATATTATTAAATTATATTAACTTATATATAAACTATATTAACTATTAACTTATTATTAACTTATATTATTATATCATAATAACTTATATATTAAACTATATTAACTATTAACTTATTAATAACTTATATATTATATTAACTTATATAAACTATATTAACTATTAACTTATATGTATATATAATATTAACTTATATATAAACTATATTAACTATTAACTTATTATTAACTTATATTATTATATCATAATAACTTATATATTAAACTATATTAACTATTAACTTATTAATAACTTATATATATTATATTAACTTATATATAAACTATATTAACTATTAACTTATATGTATATTATATTAACTTATATATAAACTATATTAACTTATATATAAGCTATATTAACTATTAACTTATATATATATATATATATAATATTAACTTATATATATAATATTAACATATATATATATATTATATTAACTTATATATAAAGTATATTAGTGAGTGGTCACATGTCGTGGGTCTGTAAACCACGTGACGCAGCTCTCCGTGGTGTCAGAGTGGAAAAGAAAAAAGAAACAGGTAAATTCAGTCTCTCGCTTATTGTGTGAGCGAGTCGGTTCGTTATTTTTTCCCAATTTCGTTGTATCAAGTTGGGGTTCAGTTATTGTATACTGTCATAAATCCGACTCTCAAGTCGACACCGAGACCACTTGTCGGTCGGTTGTGTAGCAGTGTCTCATATTGAGCCGGGTTTCTGGTCAGTATCGCCTGTTATTTATTTTCATTTTAGGGGCCTGCAGGCCTTACCCTCAGCCTCGATTATGTGTGTTAGGAGACCCCCGCTTTTAGATCATAACTGCGGCCACAGTGGTTGTGAATAATGTGAAGTGGCGTTGCAGTTTTTTGAGCCGCTACATGCTAACGTTGTTAGCGTTAACCGGCTAATGTTGCCTAGCTATGCGTTCGTTAGCTTAACATGGCTAACTAGCAGTGTCAATGTAGTGGCATGGGCGTTTTGGTTTGGTCGAACATCAATGCTCTACTGCTTGCCTGTAGCTGATTAGCTAATTCACTTGATGGCTATCAAGCCAAACCAGCTAACGCTACCAACTTCTGTGTTTTATGTCTGTTTTTCTGCACTTGGTTAGCTGGTTTGCTAGTCAAAGTAAGCCTCGCAGACGCCATGAGGTGAAGCCGTGAGAAGCGGAAGCCCCACCGAGTCTTCATCGCTGGATGCTTTCCCCCTCACCTATTAGCTTAGTTGGCTAGCATTTTGACCATGTGGCTGGCTAATAGAACTGAGTATGTTCCCCAGGCCTTGGCTTTAGGCTTGTTTGTGGGCTAGTCCAAGCATGGTTTTACGTAACGTGTGCAAGTTTAAAGCAAGGTTAACAGTTTACCATCGGAAAGTGATGTTACCTTAGCTGGCTGTCTAAACAGTGTTTTGTCTTGTCCCTGTCATTTGATGGTCAACACAGTCCACATCTGTCAATCACTGACTATATGTTTGTACATCGGCGTTTCATGGTATAAGTTATTTAAACACCTAAGAGGCTGTTCAGAATAGAGAGCATTACATAATGTCTTGAGGTAAATAAGTTGGGTAATGTTATGCACTTGTAAGCTCTGAATGCAGCAACACCGTGCCACTCTTACTTCCCGGGTCAACCCCGCGGTTAGCTTGTTTTTGCCTGAGGAACTGTCCAAAAAGGCCCTTTGTCTTTGCCCAGGCGTTGCTAGCAACACAGCTGATGGTGTATTCTTTATAACACTTCTAGCTTCTCCACACTTAGATGTTTGTCAGGCAGTTTGAGGAAGTAGTCTTCAAGTTTAGTACCAGACATGTGCATAGCAGAAATATATGTCTTTGTCACAGCTCTGTAACACATTTCTTCTCATTCTCTCCTCAGGTCTGATTCCTTTGTAAATACTGTTATTTGTATATACTGTAAATGATGACGTCCATGGGCGGAAACAAAGCCCGGGGCAGCTGGGAGCAGACACAGGGCCAGACACAGAGCCAGACACAGCACAAGCAGAGGCCTCAGGTACCCTCACCCTCTACACCTGTCATTTTGCCCAAATGCATAATTTACTGCACTGGGGTTCATTTAAGGCAAACAAAATGTACTTGATTTTACTAAACCATTTAGAGGGACAGTTTCTGGCTACTAGTTTTATGGTGTACAGCACACATTGGGACTTTACTATTAAATGTAAATCACCATACAGCTGAACATGTTATACGCCCTATTCTAACATACTTGTTAGGATAGGGCATGTTTATTATAACTCTGAGGTTAAGACTTTGAATAAGGTATAAGCAGACTCAAACTAAAGTCTGTTAAACTTAGTTTCTGGTTATTTTATCCATATTTTGCCCATCAGAAATGGACTCCCTGAATGTAAACTCTAAGGGATTACAGCTCCAGTCTGAAGCATACTGAAAACTCATTCTCTGATCGAAGTTAACTAGAAAAATAACAAACAAGATTGATAGTTAAAATGTAGAGTTTGGGCAAGTCTGTGATTGGAGGCTTAATCAGGATCTATATATTCT